GCCGGTAACGGCCACCGCACTCCAGTCTGGGTGACAGAGTGAGACTAACTCAAAAAAAAAGTAAAAAGAAAAGCACAGTTTATTGCAAAGTTAAGAAAAATGGCAATTTAGAAATATTCAAAATGTATAATGGAGGTTTTATGTACTATTTGATTATTTACTATGTTAGGTATTAGCACTTTGTATCTATGTCAAATTTCCTGAATATGTGGGCACAGTGACTCACAGCTATAAACTCAGCTCTTGGAAGTTGAGGTAGGAGGATCACCTGAGGCCAGGAGTTCATGACCAGCCTGGGAACGTAGTGTGATTCCATTTCTCTAAAAAGCAAAAAATAAGCTGGTGTTTGCCTGTAGTCCTAGCTACTCAGGAGGCCAAGGTGAGATGATTACTTGAACCCAGGAGTTAGTGGCTGCAGTGAGCTATGTTTGGACCACTGCACTCCAGCTTGGGCAATAGAGTGAGACCTGTCTCAAAAACAAAAAACAAAAAACAACCCTGATTGTGATCATTGTATAATTGTTATATAGTAGAATGCTCTTGTTCTTAGGTGATACATGTTGCAATATTTAGAGTGAAGTATGATGTAACTAACTCAAGTGGAAAAGCAAAAGTGTGTGTGTCTATGTGTAAGGAAAGACTAAAGCAAATGTGTCAAGTGAACTGATGTTAAGGTATATGAGTATTTTACTATTCTTAAAACTTTTCAAAGCATTGAAAATTTCAAAATAGGCCAGGCTGCCCGGTGCCTCATGCCTATAATCCCAGCACTTTGGGAGACTGAGGCAGGTGAGGTAGGTTGCTTGAGTCCAGGAATTAGACTAGCCAGGGCGATGTAATGAAACCTTGTCTCTACAAAAAAATAAAAAAATTAGCTGGGAGTGGTGGCGCAGGATGCTGAGGTAGAAGAATCTGAGCCCAGGAGGTTGAGGATACCATGAGCCATATTCGTCAAGATCACACCACTGCACTCCAACCTGGGTGACAGAGTGAGGCTCTGACGTAAAAAAAAAATTTTTTTTCAAAATAAAAAGTTGGAAAATATTCAAAACAACAAAATGAAATACTTATATTATTTATAAAAAGCTTTATGATAAACTAATAATATATAAAACACTAGCATTTGAATAAGCAAATCATTAAAGGAGAAACACAGAAAGCCTTTAAACAAATGACTGCTTGACCTCAGTAATAAAGGAACACAAATTTAGATGAGTTGTCAGTGTCCATCTATCAAAGTAGCAAAGATCCAAAAAGCAAGAATGCCCAATACTGATGGGATGCAGCAAAGTAAATACACTTGTAACTGTTGGAAGTATAACTTGGTGTCACCTTCTGTGCACTCTGGCAGTATTAATATCTATAAATGCTTAAAATCTATATGTTCCAGGGGAGGGGGTTGGGATTGGCAGTTGAGGAAAACTGCCAGGGGAGGGAGGGGCATACCTCATCAGCAAGCAAGGATACCTGCATAATCAACGTTTGTATACCTAACCCAGAATTGTACCCCACATCTTTATAATAAAAAAAAGAATTTAAAAAAAAATCTATATGTTCCTTAATCACAGCAATTTAATTTAAATGAACTAAGTCTAATGAGGTAATAAGACACTTGTGTAAGGTTATATATACAAACATGTTCACTGCAACATTGAATAGCAAACACCAAAAACTAAATGTCCATCAAGTGGGGTTTGGTTTTATACACAGTAAAATACTCTTTTAATTGTTAAACGCTGAAGAAATTAATATGTTGACATGGAACACTATCTCTGATCATTACATTAAAAATAAAGGTAGGTTAGAGGAAAATATATATACTACTGTCCCATTTACAGTAAAATATATACTATTATAAGCATTTAAAAAATATATAATTATTACGTAGGTTTTGAAACTTGGTTGGGAGAGTATCAAAAAAGGTAGGAAAATTATGGGAGAATGAGGCTTTTGTTTTCTGTTTTTAGATTTTAAAAAAATAAAGATCATGTAACTATAAAATATAAATTTAATTTAATTCTGTGCTGATTTTTACTTTAAAATCATTTTGTGTATGCTGCCTTGTTAGTAGAGTTAACAAAACTATTAAGAACTCATTTTGCTGTTGTGTGTTCTGTTTTCAGAGCAGTGGGAAGAGCTCAGTACTAGAAAGCCTAGTGGGGAGGGACCTGCTTCCCAGAGGTACTGGTATTGTCACCCGGAGACCTCTCATTCTGCAACTGGTTCATGTTTCACCAGAAGATAAACGAAAAACGACAGGAGAAGAAAATGGTAAATTTCAGAATTGGGATAAGAATTATTTTAAAACTCTTCATTTTTGGTCTGTTTTTAAAAAGATGCAAATTGATTAGACAATTAGAAATTAGTGTCTATAGCAAAATCAGAAATTGTGTGGAGGGAAGTAGTATGCATATTTCTTAATGTAAGAGATGAGTAGTTTTTTTTGAAAGGCCAAGAGTAAAGTTGTTGGGGAATAGTCTCTTTTGAGTAGTTCAGCTTAGTAAACTGTTTTTAAAGCTATGTAATGAAGGGATCCAGTGAGACACTCAGAAAACAAGAATCACTTACTTTAAAGAAAAAAACTTAAGTGCCTTTTAAAGTCCTTTATTCCAAGTATTTAAACCATTGGTGTTTTTAGTTTTTTACACTAATGTAGAATTTAAATCATTTAGATTCTAGTTGATTTAAAAAAAAAAATTAAAATGACTGTGTTTTAGCTTAGCAGTGTTATTTTACCTTCTTTTTTCTGTGCTTATCATGTACTGCTAATTTTGATTCTTTTGCCCCTCAATCTAAGATGAATATTATTTATAGAAAGAGTTAATTTTTAATTATTATTAGTTCCTCTCTTCTTCTTTTGCTAAGGTTTACCTATATAGCTCATATATTTTGATTTTTTAAAAGACAACCTCCCCCCCCCAATGTAAAGAATTAGTCTCCAGCTAAACCCAGGCTATCTCTTTAATGGACTCTATAACTAGTAAACATGGAGTATTAAAATTTAAAAAGTATGCAATATCCTTTATAGCAATTTTTTTTTGGTTAAATCGAAAGATGTTAAGGAATGTTATCTGTGTCTCAGCCGATTTTGAATTGCTTATTAAATGTGTATCCTACATTAATTACACATATATTAGTGGGGTTTGAAATGCTTAATGAGAATAATATATTTAATCTTCCTGTTTAGTTCAATGTTTGACTCAGACTTTGTTTTATTTATAAACATCTGTAAAATAGCTCTAATTAAAGCCGGGTGTGGTGACTCTCGCCTATAATCCCAGCCAAGGTGGGAAGCCAAGGTGAGAGGATTGCCTGAGCTTATGGTTTTGAGAACAGCCCCGGCAACTTGACAAGACCTCACCTCAAATCAAAAAATTAGCTGGGCGTGGTAGCGCATGCCTGTAATTCTGGCTACTTGGAAGGCTAAGGCGGAAGGATCACCGGAGCCCAACAGGTCGTGGCCGGGAGTGGCCACTGCACTCCAGTCTGGGCGACAGAGTGAGACTCCAACTCAAAAACAACAACAACAAAAACCCACTAAAGGGTTTTAGTGTGGGATAGTGGTCTAGTTTGAACTTTGAACTCCACAATTATCTTCCATATATTTGTAAGAAGTAAATCAAGCTTTTCTCAGATTTTCTTTTAGACAAAATCGAAAATTAGCATGCTGATTAAAGGCCAAAATTATGCTATATATTATACTTCTAAACAGTGTCAGTGGAAACTTGAAAAATTATAAGAATGAGTTTATTTTGGGGAGAAAAAAGTCATTGAACTAAAATAAAAGGTTTAGCCAGGCTCGATGTCTCAGCCTGTAATCTCGCGCCTTTGGGAGGCTGAGGTGAGTGGATTGCCTGACCCCGCGGGTTTGAGACCTGCCTGGGCAACTTGGCGAGACCTCATCTCTACAATAAATCAAAAATCAGCCGGGCGTGGTAGTGCGTGCCTGTAATTCCAGCTACTCGGAAGGCTGAGACGGAAGGATCGCCGGAGCCCAGCAGGTCGAGGCTGCGGTGGCCGGGAGCGGCCACTGCACTCCAGTCTGGGCGACAGAGTGAGACTCCAACTCAAAAAAAATAAAATAAATAAAATAAAATAAAATAAAAGGTTTTTTTTGTTTTCTTTTAAAAAATGCATATATTTGCTTCATAGAATAATGCTTAAAAATCTGGGTATAATTTGAGTTTTTACTCCCATTTAGTTAAATTATCTATTTGTAAAAGCAATCAATTACTCCCAAAAGGCAGTAAAATTATGCATAAGAATTAAAGGAAGCTGGGCTCGGTGGCTCAGCCTGTAATCCCGTGCCTTTGGGAGGCTGAGGTGAGTGGATTGCCTGAGCCTGCGGGTTCGAGACCCGCCTGGACAGCGAGACTTCATCTCTACAATAAATAAAAAAATCAGCCGGGCGTGGTTGCACCCGCCTGTAATTCTGGCTACTCGGAAGGCTGAGGTGGAAGGATCGCCGGACCCAGCAGGTCGAGGCTGCAGTGGCCGGGAGCGGCCACTGCACTCCAGTCTGGATGACTGAGTGAGACTCCAACTCAAAAAAAAAAGAATTAAAGGAAAAAGGTAGGATTAACCTTTCTGCATAGGATACTTGTGATACAAGTAGTAGTCTCTTTTGGATTGAGTCCTTGAAGGTGAAGAGTTAACTTTCTATGGTGTTCTGTTAAATTCAATCTATATTTCAAAGAAAATACCCTTATAAAGCACAATCTTAGCTAATGGGGTAAAAAAAAAACCCAAAAAACTTTCATATACTTCCTGACTTTTACGTTTTGACAGATATATTTAGTATATTTTATAGATTCTATTTTATCAGGCAGTTTATCTTTTTCCATAGTAGGTTATCAAATATCAGGCAAATTTTTGAATGGTGGATTAGGTGTAATCAATTTGTGTCAGAATTAGAAACAATGGTGACATAACTAATTGTAATGTAAAATTTATTTTCTAAAAATGTTAAGAATGAATTATAGCACACAATATGCTATGCTTCCATCACTTAAAAATATTATATACATCCCTCTAATTCTAGTTGTAAATTTTGAATAAGTGAATGCTGTTTGCATTTGAAATGTGATCAGGTTTCTGCACATTAGATTTTTTTTAAAAAGGTTTACTATTTTAGGGATAAGCACTAAACTTATTTATTTTGTGCTGTTTCTCTTTAACTACAGACCCTGCCACATGGAAAAACTCAAGACACCTTTCTAAAGGTTTCCTTTATCCATTTATTTTTGACCCTTTTAAAAATTATGCCTGCATGTGTGCTTATGTACTCTTACAGGCTGTGTGCATTTTTTTTTCTTCCATTTTTATTTGCCTATCCACATTGATTGCAGGTTTTATTGGTTGGTTCTTGTTTTTTTTTTGGCCATGCAAAAATATGCAAACTTTTTTGGTGGTGAATGTAATTTATTTTTATTTTTAAAAACATGCTTGTGAAGCCGGGCCCTTTTAATGTAAGGTAAATTCAAAACTCCCCTTTGGTATGTAGTACCTGCCTTTGTGAGTTCTATTCACCTAGATTATTCCAGTCCTCCAAGGAGATTCTTGGAAGAAGGTACTAAGCTTCAAGTAGGTGAGCATTTTACTTGCAAAAGGGATCCAGTTTTATTTATCTTTATTCCACCAAAGAAGTGACCCACATTTTCCTCAATAAATATTTATCTGAATATCTTATAGCCATTTTTATTTTGATTTCAGGTGGCTGATATGCATTATTCAATAAACTTAATCATTAAGACCTTTTAACTTCTGAACTTGACAAAAGCAAAATAGCTGTGCTTGGGGAGGTAAAGTTAGATTACCTTTCAACAATTAAACAGTTCTAGTTTCTCTGAGAAAAACAGAATAAAACTTGCTCTCCAAATTGTAAAGCACTTTACACAATGCAGATAGAAAATATATTTTCCTTCTTTCAGGAAGTGTAAACGGACCTATAAACTAAAGGAGAGTGGCAACTACATATAGCGTGTATACCAGGGTTTTTGGGTTTTTTTCTTTTTCTCCTTTTTATTTCTTTTCTACTTCCAGTTCCAAGGGAAAGCATAGCCCTGACTCCGGGGGAGGGATTGAGGGAGGGGGTTTAGATCACCTTGGAAGTGTAGACAAGTTACAATGCTCTGTAATAATGAGAGAGCTAGTAAAGAGACAGTGTTATGACTTTATAGGTAACCAACAGGAAACCAAATTTAAAAACATTATTAAAAATTAGCTGTTTCACAGGCATATTGTGTATTTTCTCCTTGAGTTATGTATGCAAATCAGTTTGTTTTTTTGGTTGGAATCACACTCTGTTGCCCAGGCTGGAATGCAGTGGCATGATCACTGCTACCACAGCCTCCACTTGCTGGGTTCAGGTGATCCTTCCACCTTAGGTTTCCAAGTTGCTGGGACTATGGGCGCGTGCTCCCATCCTCGCTAATTTTTTTTATTTATTGTAGACATGAGGTCTTGCCATGTTGCCCAGGCTGCTCCCGCCTTGGCCTCCCAGAGTGCTGGAATTATAGGCATGAGCTACTGTGCCTGGCCAATCAGTTATATATACTTTTTGCACTACTCAGTGGGATTCTTCATTTTTCTTCTTAGTCATTAACTTAATTGAGTACTTTCATTAGAAAAACTGCTTTTTTAGCTGAACTCGGTGGCTCAGCCTATAATTCCGTGCCTTTGGGAGGCTGAGGTGAGTGGATTGCCTGAGCCCGCGGGTTCGAGAACCGCCCAGGCAGGCGAGACCTCATCTCTACAATAAATCAAAAAAAATTAGCAGGTGTGGTAGCGTGCGCCTGTAGTTCCAGCTACTTGGAAGCCTGAGGCGGAAGGATCACCGGAGCCCAGCAGGTAGAGGCTGCGGTGGCCGGGAGTGGCCACTGCACTCCTGCCTGGGTGACAGAGTGAGACTCCAACTCAAAAAAAAAAGAAAAATTGCTTTTTATGTAAGATGTTTAAAAATGAAGAATATTCCTTATACTATAACGACATATAAAATATGACAAGAAATGAACAATTTTATTCCTAAAATCTAGATTTCAACTGGTGGGAAGACCTGTGAGCAATTTCACCCGATGTTAGTCATGTTTTTAAAATAGATGACACAGTTTTTTAAACGTATAAAATATAACTTAGCAGATATTAAAGCACTTGTAATTGATGGCAAAGTAGGAACAAATAACAGTTTATTAAGTAGGAACAAATGACAGTTTATTATGTTGCCTTTTAAAATTCCTAACAAAAGATAAAAAGTAATTTCCATAGTTTCCAATAAATGAGTTTTTCTTTTTCCAGGGGTGGAAGCAGAAGAATGGGGTAAATTTCTTCACACCAAAAATAAGGTAATCATATGCAAATATAATGAAAAGATAATGTTGAAAAGAATATTTTGGGCCGGGTGCAGTGGCTCAAGCCTGTAATCCCAGCACTTTGCGGGGCCGAGGCGAGAGGATTGCCTGAGCCCGAGGGTTTGAGACCAGCCTGGGCAACACGGTAAGACCTAAGACCTTGTCTACAATAAATCAAAATATTAGCCGGGCATGGTAGCGCGTGCCTGTAGTTTCGGCTACTTGGAATGCTGAGGCAGAAGGATCGCTGGAGCCCAGCAGGTCAATGCTGGGGTGGCTGTGAGCGTGCCACTGCACTCTAGCCTGGATGACGGAGTAAGACTCTAACTCAAAAGAAAAAAAAGAGATTATTTTGTACAAGTGGTTGATAATTGGTTTCTTATTATTGGCAATGTGTTGTTATTTTGTAAAGCAAATGTTACCTCAGTAACATTTCTATTCACAATTGCTTATTTGGAAAACAATTGATCCCAGTTTTGTCAAATTTGGTGATTTTTAATTCTCGTAGAATCAGGAAGCTTTGAAAAGCTTAATAAAAACTATGCTTCCTTAGTTCAAAAATATATATGTATATTAGAATTTGTTTACTATTCTCTGAAGCACATCCATAGACATCCTTGAAATATATGGATTCCCTTAAGAACTTTTGATTTTATTTTGAATATTGTGGTTTTTATTTCAATAATTTTTAGCTTTACACGGATTTTGATGAAATTCGACAAGAAATTGAAAATGAAACAGAAAGGATTTCAGGAAATAACAAGGTAGGCACTTTTTTAGAGCAGGAAAAAATAAACAGCAGTAAATATATCATTGAGGTTTTTCTATAATGTGTGAATGTTTATATAATGTGTGAAAGTCAAAATCTTGGTCTTTGATACAAATGAAGTATTTTCATGAATAATATAGACATATTGCTTAGCCCCTTTTGTTTCATATATATATATATATATATATATATATATATCTCAAATGTTTCATTTAAGTGTTGATTTTTGTTTCTGGCATGTACATACCACTATTATATTGTATTACTCTACTAAATATTGCTATAATAAGTTATCTTTTTCTGATTGATTGATTATACTCCAACTCAGGAAGTATATAACTTATGAGATATATGTATTTTGAAGTTTTTTTTCTTACCTGAGTAAGACTATATTTACTTATGAAAGCAAAGAGAGGAAAATCAGTTTCTTTAAAGTAAAAATGAAAAGTAACACATGAGCAACTGATTACTTTCTCATTTTCTTTTTTAATTTTTTCTTTTAAAAATGTGGGGTACAATACTTTCTCATTTTCTAAGATTGTGAGAATTTAAAACAAAACAAATTAGGTGTCTAAGATGCTGTTAATCTTGACGTATTATCACTGCCTTACCCAAATCTTCCTGTTTCCTTTCTTCTTTGTTTTTATTACTTTTCTTTTTGCATTTGTAGTATACATCTCTTTAAATTTATATTTCCTCTCCTTTTTTGTTTTTACCTGCATTCTTGTTATTATCCATAGGCCCATTTAATCTCACAAGTGAACCCTAACCTAGTACTGATAATCAACAAATACTTATGTAGTCTTTATATCTGCCAGATACTGTGCTGCAGAGATTATTTTCTGACAAAAAGATGTTTTTGTAGCCTTTCAATTTTAAGTCCTTATGCCTGTTAAGGATATCTGTGCTGTTTTAGTGATTGAGCTTTGTTCATTATTGAACTCTATATTGGTAACCTTTGAGTCACTGCTACTGCTGCCATACGTCCCTGAATTTGTAATAGTCGTGTTGTGTAGAAGGGGCAGAAGAAAGTGGATGGAAACTAGATTAACTTGTCCTTAGTTCTATAATTATATCAGGGATAATTTTGGCTTTTGGAATGTTATCAATCATAACACTAGTCTGTATTGTATCTTCTGCAATCCTCAATTTACTGAATTCAGCAATTGGTGGTAATTTTATACAGTTCTAGATTGTAGAAAGAGTGTGAGACTGTGGCAATTCAGAAATGAACATTTTAAGTTACATTAAATGTCAATAAATATCGAATCTGTATACTTACAAGATGGTTAATTCTTGCTGAGAATATAATTTACTTACCTAGCTGTTTTTCACCTACAGTGTAAAAAAACATGAAAAGTCCTCCAAGCTGAAATCTATAAAAACAATCTCCTTTCCTAAATCATGTTTGTAATGAAGTAAATGGTAGTTTGATCTTATGTAATTTTTCTGTATAAATGTGTAAATGATTTCATATGCTAGCATAATGCCCTGAAGGTTTTAAAACATCTGTGAGTAGGAGGTGTAAAGGCATTTGGGCAGAGCTTTGTATTGGACATGATAGGGGAATGCCATGGCAATAAGGAGCCTGGGAAGTATACAACCTAGGTAGGTATGCCAAGTATCAACATTTACTGACTTTGCAACACTGGAGTATTTAAAATGAAAAAGTAGTTCAGAGTAATCTAATACAGCAGATGTAATTGTAATAAGGAATGTGGAGTGAAGGATGTTTCAAAAAACCTTCCTGGGAAATTAGAATTTTCAGTGGGTAAATGAGGGAAAATACAAGATGGCTAAATAGAAGAGAAGGCATATTAAAGAATAAAAAAGGGCATGTACAAAGACAAGGTAGCAACATCTCGTAAGTGTCTTTTTACATATAGTTGACTCAATCCTAAAACTTTAGAGAGTCAGTGGTGAAGAGGAGGACCCCTACACCATCATCCGACTCTATGGGAGTAAAAATACTTGTATCTCTTACTATCCAAATTCTTACTATTTAAGTTCAAGGATTGAAATACTCAGATAAATTGTCTGAGGAGTTCTTTACTGTACATACTTCTGCCACCTGAAAGTGAAAGATGAGGAACCAAATTGATTTATATGTTATCTGTGACTCACTCTCTGAACTCAAGAACCTCATACATTTGGATAGTGAAGAATAGATTATTCTTTTGTTCAGCACTAAATCTACTAAACATATTTAGGAAATAGTTTATGCTTAGAATCAAGAAAAACAGTGTGAGATACTACGGGGAAATGAGGAGATAGGTAGGACTATAACCTGCTAAATGGCTGGCTGCCATACTTCCCATGTGTTTCATCAGGTTTGATTGTTTTGGGGATCATGGTTTAATTCATTTTTAAAAACATCTAATGTCTATCTACTTGAAATGAAATTTACTTTAACATTTCATATTTCATTGAAATTTTAATATAATATCTTAAAACTTATTTTTAGGGAGTAAGCCCTGAACCAATTCATCTTAAGATTTTTTCACCCAATGTTGTCAATTTGACACTCGTGGATTTGCCAGGAATGACCAAGGTAAGGAGTAGTTATTACACATTGTGGATTTGGCCATGTTGTTTTTACTGGAAAAAATGTGATTCTTCCTTGACACCTACATGACAATAATCAACTTCTTTCTGCAACCACCTTGATCTGTTAGCCACATTTGATATAGTTAAACCCTCCTTTTTCCTTGAAACACTTCTTTACTTGCCTTCCAGGATATCACACTCTAAGGTTTATCTCCACTCTCACTGGCTACTCCTTTTTAGTCTCTTTTGGTGTTTCTTCTTCTCTTTCCAGTGTCTAAACAGTAAGTGCCCCAGAGCTCAGTTTGTGGACCTTTTGTCTTCTCTAGGTACACTTTTCCCCTTGATTTCATCAGATTTTTATGGCTTCAAATACATCAGTGTATATGTTGGCAGCATTCTAGCATCTCTAAATTTGAATATCCAATTCTAATTGACATATACACTTAAATGTCGAATAGACTTTTCATACTTAAGATGTTTAATACAAAAGTCCTGACCTCTCCCTCAACTAGATTTGATCCTTCAGTAGTCTTCCCTCATATCAATAAATGGTAACTCCATCTTACCAATTGTTTAGCCAAAAAGTTTGTAGTCATTCTTGACACTTCTTTATCCCACATTATACTTCCTGTCAGCAAATCCTTTTGGGTTTCCTTACCTTTACAGTATATCCCAGACTTATCATGTCTTATGGACCCATAGCTACCATCCTATCTAGCCACTATCATCTTACCTGAATTACTGCAATAGTAATAAATAACAGGTCTTCATTATCTCATCCTTCGCAGCCAGGGTAATGCTGTTGAAGTGAAAATTGAATTGTGTCATTCTTTGGCTCAAAACCTCTCCTATTTCACTCAGAGTAAAAGCCCAGGTTCTTACAGAGCTCTAGAATACCTACTTGATATGTCCCTATTCTTCTAATTCTTTCTGCTTCACTGTCTTGTCCTTATTGTTCACTCTGCCTGAAATGTTCTTTGCTCACATATCTTTATGTACTTGTCCCCTTATTTCCTTTAATTTCTGCTCATTCTCTCAAATGGCAATTGTCTCTGTAAGGTCTTCCCTGATTACTCTATTTTAAAACATAATCTAATTTAAAATCATAATCCTCTCTAATCATTCCCTAGCCTGCTGTTCTGCTTTATTTCTCCATAGCCTTTACTGCCACCTTGATATATATTCTCTCTCCATATATATATGTATATATGTATATGCTTGTTTATTATCTGTCTCTTTTCACTAAAACATAAGCTCTATGAAGGCAGGATTTTGGTCTTTTAAAAATTCATTACTGTAACATAATCTGACACGACCTGAAGCCTGACATGTAGTAGGCTACCAATATACACTTGCTAATTGATTGAATGAATTTGTATCTAATTAATTAACATTAATCAATCCTTAACATGGAATTGTGTTAAGTAAACTTTTGATATTTGCAAGAGTTATGTTTTGAGATGTCATACATTACCAGATTTCATAAATACCACTGTAGGTTATTATTAATTTATTTACTTGTAAATGGAGAAATACCTATGTTCAATGGATTAACTGTGGGGAAAAAAACTGAGTTGACTTTTATTATTAGTTCTTTGCTCATCTCGATTTGTTTTAGGTGCCTGTAGGTGATCAACCTAAAGATATTGAGCTTCAAATCAGAGAGCTCATTCTTCGGTTCATCAGTAATCCAAATTCCATTATCCTTGCTGTCACTGCTGCTAATACAGACATGGCAACATCAGAGGCACTTAAAATTTCCAGAGAGGTAGATCCAGATGGTAAGGACAGATGTTAATATTTAATGAGATGCTTGATTTACAATGGCAAATCTACCCTCAAGAAAGGAATTTTTCGTTTTTAAATGGAGTATCTCCAGGTAATACAAATTAAAAACTGCTTTCCTATTTTGCTTGTAATTATAAATAGAAATTCTGATTTAAAAGAAGTAATTAGGCTAGGCAAAAATATTTCACATCTATATTTATAATAGTTACCTAATGATTTTAAATAATAAAATGGTTTTGCAAAAAGGGTTTCTTGTTTTGTGATTTAGTTTTTTTGAATGGCTGACTTTTAAGAGTATACAACTTAGCCAGACATGGTAGCATGTGCCTGCGGTCCCCACTACTCAGGAAGCTGAGGTAGGAGCATTGCTTGAGCCCAGGAGATGAAAGCCAGTTTGGTCAATATACTGAGAGCCCAACTCTCAAAAAATAAAAGAGAGAAAGAATAAATAATTCTCACAGTAGATAATCTTGGTAGATTACTGTGGTACAGAGGTAGAAAACATTTAGACATGTTCAAGTGGGGCACAGGGGTCCTTAGAAATAAAGGTTAAAAATCCTTTTATGAAGTATTTATAATACCAGGGATTAATTCATACTGTGGGTCAGTGATACTTGACTAATGATGTAGTGTGCCTTTGTATATATAAAATACAAGCTTGTAAGAGAGTGGTTATTATTGCTGCTAATAAGTATATAGTTTGCCCAATAAGGAAACCATTTTTTTTCTTCATCAGAATATTTGGAGGGTCTGAAGGTTGTGTTATTTTTTCTTTTCTTGCTTGGAGGAAGAATTTCAAATAAAAAATTGGTAGAAAATGTTAGTACTAAGACTGCTAAGTAAAATTCCTACAAGCAGGGTAACCTTTTTTTTTTCAAGTTTTTTTTTTTTTTTTTTTTTTGAGTTGGAGTCTCACTCTATTGCCCAGACTGGAGTGAGTGGCATAGTCCCGGCCACCACAGCCTCGACCTGCTGAGCTCTGGCGATCCTTCCGCCTCAGCCTTCTAAGTAGACGGAACTATAACTACCATGCCTGGCTATTTTTCAAGTTTTTAAGAAACTTTTTTACTGTATGAGTATTTAATGTTCACTTCAGTTAGATTAAAAAATAAACTATAAAGTAAAAGGGTTTACTTAAATTTTACTTTTTAAACTGATTGTTGAGCCATAAATATGGTCATACTTTTTCTTTTTTTTTCCTTGAGTTGGAGTCTCACTCTGTTGCCCAGACTGGAGTGCAGTGGCCACTCCTGGCCACCGCAGCTTCTACCTGCTGGGCTCCGGTGATCCTTCCGCCTCAGCCTTCCAAGTAGCTGGAACTACAGGCGTGTGCTACCACACCCGGCTAAGTTTTTGATTTATTGTAGAGATGAGTCTCACCAAGTTACCCATGCAGGTCTCGAACCCGCGGGCTCAGGCAATCCACTCACCTCAGCCTCCCAAGGCGCGGGATTACAGGCTGAGCTACCGAGCCCAGCTATGGTCATACTTTTGATCTATTAATCTTAGCCTAGTAATATATAGTAAGGAAATAATCCTATATGGTACTATTTATAGTGTCAAAATTAGAAACAACATGGTAAGCTGCAGGAATGAGTAAGTAAATTAGGAGAATAAAATATGAAATAATTAAAGATGATTTTGTTGATTTAAAAAATGCTTATAATTTTAAAATACCTCCGGTAAAATTGTACACTGTATAGAGCAGCTGAAGCTCTCATAGTTTGCTGGTGAGAATGGACTACCTACTTGAATGTCTATAGCAGCTTCATTCGTTATTTACAAAAACTAGAAACAACTCAAATATTTCTCAAATGGAGAATGAGTAACCAAACTAAAATGGGACACAAAAAAAGGAATGAACTATTGATATCACAATAATACAGATGACTCAAATGCATTATGCTAAATGTATGATTCTGTTTACATTTTAGAAAATGCAAAGCTAGGACTCAAAAACAGGTTTGATTGGTTGGCAGTGTCTTGTACTAACACATTGCTTTGCATTTGGCAAAACTCATAGAACTATATACCAAAAAAGAGTAAATTTTAAGCAATTTAAAAATGTTTAAAAAATAGCCCTATTAGCTATTAAAAAATTACATGTGAAAAAAAATTTTAAATTGTACACAATGGGCTAGGTATGGTGGCTCAGCCTGTAATCCTAGCACTTTGAGAGGAGGCCGAGGTGAGAGGATTGCCTGAACCCTGGGGTTTGAGACCAACCTGGGCAACTTGGTGAGACCTCGTCTCTACAATAAATCACAAAAACTAGTTGGTGTGGTGGTGTGCATCTATAGTTCCAGCTGCTTGAAAGGCTGAGGTGGAAGGATTGCCTGAGCCCAGCAAGTCGAGGCTGTGGTGGCCGTGATGTGCCACTGGATTCCAGCCTGGGTAACAAGAGTGAGATTCCAACTCAAAAAAAAAAAATTGTACACAATGTTTATTTTATTTTATTTTATTTTTGAATCTCTGGTGCCCAGGCTATAGTGCAGTGGCACTATCACAGCTATTACAGTCTTGACCTGCAGGGCTCAGGCAGTCCTTCCACCTCAGCCTTTCAAATAGCTGGGACTACAGTGTGCACCCTGATGCCCAGCTAATTTTTTGGTTTATTGTAGAGATGAGGTCTTGCCATGTTGCCCAGGCTGGTCTTGAACTTCTGGGCTCAGGCAATCCTCTTGCCTCTGCCTCCCAAAGTACTGGGATTACAAGTGTGCTCCACCATGCCCAGCCTAAAATTATTTTTTAAAAAGAACTTATAAGCAAAGGTTAAGAATAGCATTACCAAATGATGATGGCAAAGTAATATTAGGTGGGTTTATAGATGAGGATTTTCCTTTATTAATACTTACTGACTTTATTTGATATGTCATTTTCTTTCTTTCTTTCTTTCTGTTTTTGGTTTCTTTTCTTTTTTCTCTTTTTGCATTTACCAGGTCGCAGAACTCTCGCTGTAATCACTAAACTTGATCTCATGGATGCGGGTACTGATGCCATGGATGTATTGATGGGAAGGGTCATTCCAGTCAAACTTGGAATCATTGGAGTAGTTAACAGGTTAGCAGTTAAGAGTGGGATAAGAATTGCAGCATTCTCATTTCAAAGCAAGCCTAAATTTCTAAAATCTGCCTGAAATGTGATGCTGTCTTATTTTTTTCTCCTTTTACTATAATCTTTGTATTGCTAAAAAATTCATTGCTCTAAAGGGAAAAGATTCACTAAAGCCTTTACAGACATCTTTAATGGAAAATGTTCCTAAAGTTAGCAGTGCCACAAAATGGAAGAAATTTAATAACCAGGCTTTAAGAGTTCTTGCCTTATTATGTTAAACTATGTGTGAGGAGGCCCTGGGTAAGGAAAAAAATGTATTTTCTAGTTTATACTCAATTGAGAGTTTATGGTAATTGGATTTTGATAGATTGGTTTAACCCCTAGCATTAGTGATTCTGTATAATTGTCAGGATGTGACTTTCAGGAGTTTTACTGAGGGTATCTTAATTATAAATAGCTGCTATTAAAAATTGTGAAAAGGAAACTATTACTGAGTGCCTAATTATGTTTTAGACACTCTACTGTGAACAATTTACAAATGGTATCTCTTGGAATCCTCACAACATCCCTTGAGGTAGGTGTTGATGTCTATTTTATGATCAGAAAACTCAGGTATACATTTACCATGTGTCATATATCACATGGCGAGTGAAAGAGCTGGGTTCAGATCAAGCTCTTAGTTCAAAGCCTTTATAATGTAGGAAGCACTGAAATGATGAGATTTTGGTTCTAGTCCCAGTTCTTTCCATAAACTAGATACAGTGTGGATTATATGACACCTAACATCTTTGAGTCTCAAGCCTTTTAAAAATGAAAATATTTTTGCTACATGGTATCTGAGATCTATTCCAGTTATCTGCTTCTATTTTTATGTCCTTCCATTCCATTCCTACTCCCATATTTTCCCCTCAATTTTAGCTATTTCCCTTTTCAGGCAAGCAGGTGGCATGACACTATTGTATTTGTAGATAATTGTTCTTCAAGTTAACTTAATTATTTTTGGTAGAAATCAATGACCTGTCCCACGGATAAAATCAACAGTTGATTAAGATACACTTATACCTGTCTATACCTGTTACTTAAGAGTATTGTTTAGTCTACAATTAATTATGATAATAAGGCTTAAAGTAATCAGGCACTACTTATTAGTCACATAGTTCGAATCTTGACTGTGCTACTTAATGTATAACCTTGGGTAAATTAATCTCTCTGATCCTCAGTTCCTTGTTATAAAATGGGATAATAATACCTATGACATAAACTTATTGTGAGAATTAAAATAGTCCTTGTCAAGTATCAGGGAACAGTGCCCATTGCTGTCATTATGTGAGGGAAAGGACGACAATTAACTTTAGCTGAACAGTTTTATTATTTTTCAACCTTAGGAGCCAGCTAGATATTAACAATAAGAAGAGTGTAACTGATTCAATCCGTGATGAATATGCTTTTCTTCAAAAGAAATATCCATCTCTGGCCAATAGAAATGGAACAAAGTATCTTGCTAGAACTCTAAACAGGTAACATTTTTTACCTTTTAGAAATGAGATGTTTTATTTTGCCAATAGGTATCAGTCTTTTCAGTTCCTTAAATTTTCATACTGTTCTGACAGTTTCACTTTTGGTTTCTTGTATAGTAAATTCTTAAAAAGTAGATGTCTTTATTTTTATTTGAGATAGTTGACATTAAATCATGTAGTCTAGAATGAATGCTCAAGTGAATTTTAAAATGTTTTAATTATGAAATTTTTGACAATTTTATTTTGAGGATAGAACTAGATAGATGATTTATTTCATTTCCACTTTGGATTTCAGGAACTGAATTAAAATTTATAATCTTCACATGATCTACTCTTAATTTAGAATGTCTTCTATTCCTAGTCATAGTAGAAATAATTTAGGTTGTATACCTTGAATTCTGAATGCCCATTGATGGTGTGGAGACTAGAAGACCTTTCTAGATGACTTATAAATAACTGAATGGAATGCCATTTTTTGTTACTCTTGTCTTATTTCCTAAATTAAAGACTGATGATAGACTTGGATCTTAAAAAGGTTGATTTTCCCTATGCAGTACCCACTGTAAACGGTAAGACGATGAAAACAAAATCACATAGGAAGAATTGGATTGAATGGCTTACTTTCTTTGTGGTAATTGCAATGATATGAACATAATTTGCATTTTTTCATTTTCTAGTTGATTCTCTAGGAGTTACTACAATTTTATGAGTCGAAGGTGAAATTAAAAAGCATTGATGAAAACAGCTTCCTTTGTGTCAAAGTACTTACCTCTAAGATTATATTATTTCCTGTTCTTGTGATTTAGGAAGAACCAATCAAAGTGGTTTTTTTTTTTTTTTCCTATTCTCACATAATTACTCAATATAGCACAGAATGCTTCTTGATGCCATGTGTGTATGTTTGTGGGGAGGGGGGTTACATATACCATGCAAGCAATTCTTCAGGGGATTCTAGCTGAGTATCTTCTAATTCAACTCAGTTCTAACAATATTTACTTGGAGACAGTATAAGATCCCACAAGTTGAGGGCTCAGTCCCATAAGACTGCCTCCCACTTCAGATGCCAGTCACAAGTACAGGTTGTAACTTGTGCTTCTGAACTGACTGACTGGCAGTAAATTGAAATTCCCATGACCCTCTCCTTGGGTTTGATTAATTTGTTAGAGTGACTCACAGAACTCAAGGAAACACTTTAGTACTGTTCACCCTTATTACAAAAGATACAGATGAAGAGATGCATAGGGCAAGGCATTGTAGGTGCGTGGAGCTTCCAAGTCCTCTATAGCCATGGCACCCTCCAGAAACCTCATGTTCAGCTATCTGAAAACTCCATGAATTCTGTCCTCTTGAATTTTTTTGGAAGCTTCACTATGCAGGCATGACTGATTATATCAATCATGATATAACTCATGATCAACTCAACCTTTGGCCTCTCCCCCCTCCCCTGAGGTTGGAGAGTGGGACCAAAAGCCCTAACCCTCTAATCATGCCTTAATTTTTCTGATGACCAGTCCCCATTCTAAAACTGTCAAGAGGCCCCTAGCCACCAGTCATGTCATTAACATACAAAAGACACTCTGGAGAGTCTACAGATTTTTTGGAGCTGAATGCCAGGAAATGGAGATTAAAAACCAAATATATATATTTCACAGTATCATATCTGCCAAGACAAATTATTTGACAGGTTTTCCTGATTATTTGCATTTTTAAAATTTGACTTGTTTGGGGCGTCAGAGTACACAATTTTACTTCAAAATCTTTCCTTTCTAATCTTTGCTAGGTTACTGATGCATCACATCAGAGATTGCTTACCAGAGTTGAAAACAAGAATAAATGTTCTAGCTGCTCAATATCAGTCTCTTCTAAATAGCTACGGTGAACCTGTGGATGATAAAAGTGCTACTTTACTCCAGCTTATTACCAAATTTGCCACAGAATACTGTAACACTATTGAAGGAACTGCAAAATATATTGAAACTTCAGAACTGTAAGTAAGAACTTCTTCTACAGATTTGATTACCTGGATCACTAGATCACTTTATCTTTTGTTAAAGTGACTTTAGATGAGATTACCTTATTGTGGTTTGTTACCTATAAAACAGGAATATCATTTTGTAGAAATGGTAGGATAAAGTCTGATATATGTGAAATAATACTTTATAAATAAAGCACAGTAAAAATGTTTGTTGTTTCTTTAATACAGTATAACATTCATGAAAAATTAGAAAATGCAGATTAGCAAAAATAAAACATAAAAACAAAATTACGTGGTGGTGCATGTCGGTAGTTCAACTTCTTGGAAGGCTGAGATGGGAGGATCCCTTGAGCCCAGAAGTTTGAGGCAAGCCCAGGCAACATAATCTCTGCAACAAAACAAAAAAAGTACCCTTAATTTCACCAACCCAAGATAATTCCTAATTTTCTATGCATCTATAAAACATATAAATGCCTATACTACACATCCTTAAAAATCAGATGCTATATATGCTGTTTTGAAATCATTTCTTTACATCATACCACAAGTTATTTTCTATCTGATATTATACATTACATGATTAGTCTGAAGATTTGCATGGTATTTCACTTTTTAGATATACCCTCATTTGTTGAACCAGTCCCCTACTATTGGATACTTTGTTTTTAATTATGCCCATTTATAAACAATGTTGTGATGGACTACCTGCACCTATCTTCAGGGCATTTTATTCAAGTCAACCCTGAGGATAAATTCCTAGAAGTAGGATTACTAAATTAAGGGGTATGACACCCTCAAAGTCTTTCACAACATATTGTATACTATTAGCATATTGTACTGTTTGACTATTAGCAGAATATCAATTTCTCTACATTCTCATTTTTAAAAATGGAAAGAATTATAAACTCACAGGAATGTGCAAAGAAATGTACAGGGAGTTCCCTTGCACTCTCTACCTCACCTTTCCCAATGCTAATAATCTTGCATAATTAACATATAACAGCAAAATGAGAGCATGGACATTGGAGCAATCCACAGAGCTTATTCAGATTTCATCAATTATACGTGAATTCATTGTGTGTGTGTGTCTATATACCTTAGTATGACCTGGGTTGTCTTTCGAATGAATTAACTCTATAAAGAGAGTATTTAAGAGACTAGTTATTGAATGGTTATTGGGAAATAAAGATCACATACAAGGGGGGTTTAGAGGGTAAAGTAGGTCAAGGATATGAGGCTTTATTAGGTGGCAAAAGTATAATTATTTACTTATTAAGTCTAATATATAGTCAGAAAAGTACTTAAAACATAAATGGACAGTTTCATAAATAGTTAATAAACCAATGATCTATGTTCACCTGACCAAGATCTCATGACATTGAAGAGAGACCATTTATATTTTTTTCAGGACTCAGGAAAGCTCCACATTTAAAAAGGTATTTGAAGTGGGCTCTGAATAGAATTTGGGAAGGCAGTAATGAGAGGGCATTTTAGGCCTGGTAACAATAAAGAATAACATAAGAATAATGTGTTCAGAGAACAGCTTGTACCATGATGGCACATAACAGGAGATAAGGCAGGACTGGTGTCTGGGAACAAAACTATAAAGTCTTCAATATCTTGCTCAGAATGTGGAGAACTTACTATTAAAAAAACACTTTTGGTCAGAGGAATAACCTGTCTTAAAGGATAATTCTGGTCATTATGGAAAATTATTTGGAGAAGGGAAAAGTTGGAGGCAGAGATACTAATTACTGTACATTTTAAGTGTACAATTCAGTGACATAAATTATATTCACATTGTAATGCAGTCACCACTAGTCTCTCTTCCAGCCCTGGCAGCCTCTAATTTATTGTCTGTTTCTAGAAATTTCCCTGTTCTAGATATCTCATGTAAGTGAAATAATGCAATATTTGTCCTTTTGTGCCTGACTTATTTCTGTTAGCATGTGAGATTAGTACCTTCTGCCTGAACTACTCTAAAAAAGTATTGAGTAGTGGTGGTAAAAATAGAGAGGAAGAGATGATTTGAGGAGACATTATAAAGGTGTTTATAGACTTCAACTGGATTTGAATAAAAAAAACAAAGATCATACCAGGGTTTCTAGTTATTAAACAAGATAGGAAACACAAGGTAATTAATACCTAGACCAAGAGGTTTAGATTGTCTAAAGCAGTTATAGGCAGGTGACACAACCCACAAGAATGATTTTTGCATTGTAAAGTAAAAATGAAAAAAAATTCAAAGAAGAGTATTTCCTGACCCAAAAATTATATAAAACTTACATTTCAGTGTGTATAAATTTTATTGGAACATAGCTATGCTTATTTGTTTACATAGTAACTATCTGGCCCTTTATGGAAAAAGTTTGCTGACCTTTAGATTGTGAATCAACAGAGATAAATAAGGCACTGTTTCCTCTCCTTAAGAAGCTCATAAACTAATTAAAGAAAACTAGGGCAAAGATGCTTCGCAATTCTTAGTTAACTGATGTTTTATGTCAGTATACTTACATATACAAGTATGTATGTATACCTTTCATGATATGACTCCTGTTCCCATTAAAAAAAAATTCATAATGACCCTGAGTTAAGAGCACATAGAAGCCGGGCTTGGTGGCTCAGCCTGTAATCCCGCGCTTTGGGAGGCTGAGGTGAGTGAATTGCCCGAGCCCGTGGTTTCAACACCTGCCTGGGCAACTTGGCGAGACCTCATCTCTACAATAAATCAAAAAAATTAGCTGGGTGTGGTAGCGCGCGCCTGTAGTTCCAGCTATTTGGAAGACTGAGGCGGAAGGATTGCTGGAGCCCAGCAAGTCAAGGCTGGGGTGGCCAGGAACATGCCACTGCACTCCAGTCTGGGCAACAGAGTGAGACTCCAACTTAAAAAAAAAAAAAGAACACACAGAAATGGGAATGGACTGAAATGTCAGTTTATCTGGGACTTTCTCAGAAGATGAGATACACTTAAGGCTTATAGAAAGACTTCTAACTTATACCTTCTTTCCCTTGTATTAATGTTAGAAACCATATACCTTATTGCCTTTCAGATGTGGTGGTGCTAGAATTTGTTATATTTTCCATGAGACTTTTGGGCGAACCTTAGAATCTGTTGACCCACTCGGTGGCCTTAACACTATTGACATTTTGACTGCTATTAGAAATGCTACTGTGAGTATGCTTAACTTTTAGACTTAAAAAAAAATGGGGTTAAAGTTTTTTTTTAACTAATATATTAGTTTTAAAAATTGTGAAGTTTGATATTTTGCTCTTATACTTGAAATTAAGAAGCACTTTGCATGAAAAATACCAAAAATGGGATGCATTTTTGACTTTTGGAAAGAACTGAAATTACATGTAGCTATAATAAGAGTGCTAAGTTTTATATTTTCAGGGTCCTCGTCCTGCTTTGTTTGTGCCTGAGGTTTCATTTGAGTTACTGGTCAAGCGGCAAATCAAACGTCTAGAAGAGCCCAGTCTCCGTTGTGTGGAACTGGTTCATGAGGAAATGCAAAGGATCATTCAGCACTGTAGCAATTACAGTACACAGGTAACTGAAATAGAATGGGCTTCATATAAACTAGTAAAGGGCTTGAGATGGTGGCTTCATAGGGTGGGAGGAAATGTATAAGATGGGCCATAAGTTAAAATCTATAGTTTCCTTATCTAAAAGTGATGTGAAATAGTTTTGTTTGTTTTAAGTTTGAGGGTACATGTGCAGGTTTATTACATGGGTTTATTGAATGATGCTGTGGTTTGAGGTTCTATTAAACCTATCACCCAAGACTCAATAGGTAGTTTTTCAACCCTTGTTTCTCTTCCCTCCCCTCTACTTTCAGAGTCTTCAGTGTCTATTCTCATCTTTATGTCCATTTGTACCCTGTGTTTAGCTTCCACTTACAAGTGAGAACAAATGGTATTTGGTTTCCTGTTCCTGATTTAATTTGCTTAGAGTATTGGCATCCAGTTGCATCCATGTTGCTGCAAAGGACATGACTTCATTCTTTTTTTTTTTTGAGTTGGAATTGAATTCAGTATTTCAGTGATCATTTAGTGAAATAAATTGATTAGCCTGGCATGGCATGTATCTGTAATCCCAGCTCAAAAAAATTCCAACTGTTGCTCAGGCTGGAGTGCAGTGGCACACTCTTGGCCACCCCAGCATCGATCTGCTGGGCTCCAGTAGATCCTTCTGCCTCAGCCTTCCAAGTAGCTGGAACTACAGGCGCATGCTACTATGCCCGGCTAATTTTTTTTTATTTACTGTAGAGATGAGGTCTCGCTAAGTTGCCCGGGCTGGTCTCAAACACATGGGCTCAGGCAGTTCACTTACCTCGGCCTCCCAAAGTGCTAGGATTACAGGCTAAGCCACTGAGCCAAGCCAAGTTCATTCTTTTTTATGGCTATGTAGTATCCCATGATGTAAATGTACCACATTTTCTTTACCCCGTCCATTGTTGATGGGCACTTAGGTTGGTTCCATGTCTTTGCTATTATAAATAGTGCTACGATAAACATGAGTGCAGGTGTCTTTTTGGTAGAATGATTTCTACTACTTTGGGTATATGTCCAGTAGTGCAATTACTGGGTTGAGTGGTAGTTCTATTTTT